GGCCCCCCCCCCCCCCCCCCCCCCCCCCCCGAAAAAAGTTCGCGCATTCCGGAGTTTTCGTTTTTTCTGAGAGTAAAAAGAACGCGACACATGGGCATGTTCCTTGTTGACAGCAGCTTCTGTTGGCTTGAAATGACTGGGTTGTCTGTAGGCATGGTGAAGATGGGTTGTTTGTTGCAGCTCTGAAGGGGCTTGTACCGCTGGTTTGGCATATGCATGATGATCTCCAGGAGCCACAATGCTCCTTGCCCGATTCCAGATGGATGAGGCCAAGTTCCTTTTTGAACCCAGGGTTGGGTGCTGACCGCGGTTGTCCTCGATAAGGCACCATTTCCCAGGCATTCACGCGTCGTATGTTGGGACCTGCTCCCACATGATATTTCCCTTTGCCCTGATAAGAAATAACAATGAAAGGACCGATTTTAACTGTTCTGAACCGGTGTTTTGCAGCGTAGGTTTCCACAGTGGGTAACCTGGGAAAAACAGCAATTAAATCGCCAGGCTGAAAATGATGCAATTTTCTCTTATTAGCTTGATTAATAAATAAACCAGACGTTCATCTGCCCATTGTTGGATGTCCTCTAACTCGATTGGGCTGTCATCTATGGCTGCCCTGAATTTGCGATCCACTTCCAGAATTGTGCGGCAGCCAAACATGGCCTCTGCTGTTGGGGTGACACGCTGGTGGTGGAGTGTGTGGTGCTGTTGTATGCCCTCACAGATGCTGCCAAGTGTTGTGCCCAGCAGCCCAGGCCTTGTCATCAACATTGGTTGCTTTTGCCTCAATCTGCAAAAGAGTTTTAATAGATTGCTCACAGCACCCCTTACCTTCTGGGTGTGTGGCCTGAGCTATATATGTTGCTCAATTTTGTACCCTCAAAGAAAATGTTTGAAAGCAAGACTCGTGAACACGGAATTGCAATCAGAATGTACAATTTCAAAGAGACCCACCTGTCTAAAAAGCTCTGCTAAAAAGGGGATTACCATTTGTGCATCTGGTGCAATGATGGGCTGTGCAACCATGTAATTACTGAAATGATTGACTGCCACAATTGCATAGCGGAAGTTGTTGTAGGTGCACAGCAGAGGACCATAAAAGTCTGGGACTAAGCACTCCCGCAGCTGGTTGGATTTGTTCGCACTCATATGCACCCCCAGCACCGTTTGTGTAGGCTGATTGTACAGGAAACAAAGCTTGCAAGACGTTATACATTTCCAAATATCTTGGCACATTTTGGGCCAGAAGAAGCATTTGTGGAGGGTGGAGTAAACTTTTTTCCACCCCGCATGCCCAAGTTACTGCATGGTAGAAGTCAATGATCTGAGTTCTTTTGTCCTCATTGGGTTGCGGTCTGGCTGACGCATTGTTCACAGATATCTGGCTAAGCATGTTGGGCACTTGTATAGGGAGGTACCTGGTCTGTGAATAAGTTCAAAGTCAAACAAGGCAAGTTTAGTTTGCAAGCTAATTAACCGTTCAGATTGCAGTTTCCCCAACAGGGCCTTGTGGTTGGTGTATATGCAGAATTTCCTGTAAACAAGATGGTGCCAAAATTTTTTTGTAACACTCCACACTATTATAGCTAAAAGGTTTGCATTCAGTATTAGAATACCTGGTTTTGGCATCTTTAAGCGTCCTGCTTGCATACTCAATTACGTGTTTGTTACCTGCTGGATTGGTTTGGACAAGCACAGTGCCCAATGAGATGGCAGATGCATTGCAGTGCACTGCAATTGGCCAGGTAGGATCCATGCGCTCCAAGCGTGCAGTATCTGCTAAGATGTTTTTGATGTGTAGGAAAGCCTCCTCAGCTTTGGAATCCCAGTTGAGCTTGATGGCTGGTTTGGGTGGTATTATGCGGCAAAGGGCCTTCTCTGCATTGGCAAAGTTTGTTGGTAAGTGTGCCCATAAGTAGGTTGCCATCCCAAGAAATTGCTGCATTTGTCTCATTTTCTCCGGTTTTGGGTAGTTGCATACTAGTGTTTCGAGTTAGGGAGGTTTTTTCAACATTATTCTTTAAGGGATTGCAAGGGGGCTGGGGAAAAATTCGACTTAGGGAGGTTTTCGACTTAGGGAGGTTCGACTTATGGAGGTTGGACTGTATTATGCGGCAAAGGGCCTTCTCTGCATTGGCAAAGTTTGTTGGTAAGTGTGCCCATAAGTAGGTTGCCATCCCAAGAAATTGCTGCATTTGTCTCATTTTCTCCGGTTTTGGGTAGTTGCATACCGCATCCACATTGTGTTCCATTGTGCGGTGCCCATTTGGTGCGGCTACCCATTTGGTACGTGTTCCTGGTCCAGGAACCCTTACTTTGGTCAATCATCCCAAAGAAACCAGCCATTTGTCTCAGATGGAACCACACCTTGGACCAAGCCTTCCAGTACATCAAAGACAAACTGGCTGAGGCCACAAAATTGGAATGGGTTGATCCCAACCTGCCACTGGAGGTGCATTGCAATGAGTCAGCTTCCTGTTTGGGAGCAGTCCTTGTACAAGGAGAAGAGAGTGATGAGAAAAGGGAGTGAGGGTATGGGGGGTGCAGTGGCCTAGAGTTTTGCTGACCAAAAGTTCTGCTCTGGGGAGAAACTACACAACCCTGGATTCAACCCTGATTTAATGGAGGTCTAGCCCAGTGCTGTGGCCTTTTTTTTCTCTAAAGCTCAATAGCGCCAAATGTTTTAACTTATTGACAGTGTAGTCAATGTTCTCTTCTACATCTGTACTGTATGGAGACCAGATTCTTTTTGGTCTTTCAGGAGTGCCAAGGTGATCAATACCGTTGACGCGCGTTGTGTGATATTATGTTAGCACCAGTGGGTCATTGCCGGGAAAAGGTTTTCAGTTTATTCATTGCTTGAATTTGGCGCAAGACGCTAGTTCAGCTGTCTAGAGTCACCATGAGCTTCACGAGTGACGAGGTGAATTTCCTCATCTACCGGTAAGTGCTACTAGACTTGAAATAGCAAGCGCCAGCAACACCTATGTCGCCACGCCTTCACTAATTTCCCTTTGGCGTGCTCTTGCATCCTTGACCGCCATGGCAGCCGGCCAGCACAAGGCAGCCAGCCAGCTAGAGGAGCCTCACTCTTGCATGAGCTCTCATACTGACAACATCTCCAAATCCAAACCAATTGCCTAACAGTCTTCCTATCTCATTGTTACGCAAACCAAAGTGTGACTTTGCTTTACAAGTTTGTGAAGATCCTTTAGTGTTCAAAGTGAAGAATAAACCCCTCTGTACAATTCTCCCAGAGTTGTGTGCATCTTTACTCCGAGACATATGCAGATCTCTCACTGGGGGCTTGTTCAAAGCCAACCCTAGCCTGACGCAATGGCCAACAAAAATGAAATCTCAGACGCAAAAGAGGAATCTCTTCCACCAGACTGTCCCTGTGCGCGCCTCACAAAAGCAACTTTTGTCCAATATTTCCAAACCCAGAAAATCCCAAAGCCCAGCACCATGGGCCTGAATTGCTGGGACTATATCAAGGTCCTCAAAGCTTGCGGTATATCCCCAAACACGGTGTTTCTCAATTTTTCACCCACATCTTCTCCTTCTCCACCTTGTTTGTTCCACTCTGCATCACCTGCAGTAGACCTTCCCCACCAGCACAAAGACAAGGAGGTTGATGCGTATCTCAGACGCGCTCTGCAGGTTTTCACTCAGGAGAATACCCCTGAAAAATCTTGTGTCTCATGCCTTCTCAGCATGACCCAGCCTGATGTCTCCAAGGCTGATACCCTGCTGTATGAACAGGGCCAAACTACCTTTCACGATCTCACGGCCAGTCTCCGAGCCCAATTTAACAAATCTTGCTTTGATTATCTCCAATGGTTTCAATAGCTTGTCCCTAACGCAAATGAGACCTATGTGAACTATGGATGTTGCCTCTGCAAGGCTTACCTCAAGTACTTGCCAATGCCACTCAGGAATTTCCCCGCTCAAGAGGCGCTCATCACGTATGCCCTTATTGGCCAATTTCTCACAACAATCCAAGGAGCAATTGTGTCCCATATGCAAGGCCGCGCTCTTGCGGAACCCAACATCACCTCAAAACAAGTCTGCACATATGCAGATGAATTCCGTCTCACCCACCCCCATGCTTGGGTGGTCATCAATCGTAGACCAACGGCAAACCAGCCCATCTGCAAGACAAACCCTCAACATCCAGCGAGCTCCTCTGGAGCATCCACATCTTCAGGATCAACCAACCAACACATGTGCTTTTGCATTCATCACAACCAGATGGTGGCCCATACGTCCAAGGAATGTTCCATTCACACGGTACAACCTCCCCCAGCTCATTTCTGCAAAAAACACCGCAAGTACGTATCCCACACCACCAAGCAGAGTCGCCTGCAACGGCCGGACACAACTGCGAGTGAAAAACCCAACTCATCCAAAAAACAATCATGCATTATTTGTGGTAAAGCAGATCACCTGGCCGCCAACTGCATGGCGCCGGGAAACAGGACAGGCGGGCAGTGAGGGCAGTTCTCTGCACTGTGCCTACTCCACAAGCAGCCCAGGACCAAATTACAATCCTCATCTCCATCCAGGGTCAGAAGCGCACCGCCCTCATTGACACAGGCGGTTCCCAATTGTTCATTGCGGCAGAGGTTGCCCAATTGCTCCAGCTCCCTACAAATCCAATAGCAACATCCATCGCGGTGGCAGTCACCAACATCTTGCTACCTCTTACGCAATTGGTAAGTACATCTTTTCTCTTTCAAAATCATTCCTACCCTGCAACGTTTCTTGTACTTCCCAAAGCAGCTTACCCAGTAATTCTTGGATGCGACACACTCAGTGTCCTTCCCCTTGCAATCACCCTCAACGGAACACTCATTTTCTCTAGATTTTGCTCAATCCAACCGGTAACAGAACCTCCCACATGCACCATTGGCAAAAATATCACATATGTCAATGGGTCCACACCCAATTGCGCCATTATGACCGCCCTTCTCACCCAATTTCACAAAAATATCTATCAATGGAGAGGCCAACATGGCCTCTTCCCCCAGTATGTTGCATACCTGCCCACCAACTCTGACTCCCCACCAATCGCAAAACATTTCCATCAATCATTTGACAGACAAAACCCAATGCACAAAATTCTCAAAAATTACAAGCTCCCGGGCATTCTCAAACTCGCAAATTCCCCATACAGCTCCTCAGCCTTTCTCACGCCAAAACATTGCTCAGATCCCATAGCACCTGCAATGAAACGCTGGCGCCTTGTGGAAGACTATCGCAAAATTAACAAACAACTCAAACCCAATAATTATCCCATGCCAGTCATTCACGACCTTCTCGACTTGCTTGGTTGCCAAAATGTATACTTCTGCACACTCAACCTTCACTCAGGATTCCATCACATCCCACTTGCTCTTAAGGATAGACAGAAAACTGCTTTTACCACACCCTTTGGCCAACCACAGTACACGGTCCTCCCATACGGCCTAAAAACAGGCCCCGCAATCTACACATTCATTTTTCACTCAATTTTTTGAAAAAGGTCTGCATTTTTTTATATCTCAGTCAATTTTTGGAATTTTTCAAAGTTGGAAATGGGGAAATGTGCAGAACTTCATTGAGCATCTACCCTATAAAAATGGTAGAGTTATTGAGAAGGTTGGAAAACAAAAAATTTTTGGACTTTCAAGTTTAACTCATAATATTTTTGGAGCAATTTCAATTTTAAAATTTTTCTTGGATGCACAATGCATTTCTACAAATTTGGAATTTTTTTCGGCTGGAGGAATTTCAAATCAAAATAGGAAACGTTTTCTAAAAAAAAATGTGCCAAGGGGTGGGATTGAACCGGGTACCTCCGCAACCGTTTCACTGCACCCTAATTTTTTTCAATGCCAAGGAAAACCTGCTAAAAGTTGGTGCCACAGACACATGTTACACAATGTCCTTATCTAGTAGTACAGCGTCCGCAGTGAAATCTTTTCAAATCTTTTCAGAACCACAGTATTTCACATACCGCATAGTTTAGTACTGTACCGCTGGTATAATACAGTGGTACACAACCCCTTCAGGTATTTTTTGGGGTGGTGTACAGCTGGTAATATACCAGTGGTACATAACCCCTTTAAAATACTGCGGAGTTGTGTACCGCTGGTATAATACCAGTGGTACACAACCCTGCGGTATTTTAGCAGCAGTACACAACCCTGGTATATTACCACAGGGTTGTGTACCGCACAGCGTATTTTCACTGTGATTGGCCGCCGTATCATTACCGCGGCCAATCACAGCTTTGCAGAGCGGATCTGTGCTGCAGTATTATAAAATACGGCACAGCGTATTTTTACTGTGATTGGCCATGGTATCATTACCTTGGCCCCTCACAGCTTTGCAGAGCAGATCCGAGAGTCTGGATCCTTGCTGCAGTATTATAAAATACCGCACAGCGTATTTTCATTGTGATTGGCCGTGGTATCATAACCGCGGCCAATCACAGCTTTGCAGCGTGGATCCGGGAGTCCAGATCCATGCTGCGGTATTTTAAAATTCCTAAGTTCTGTGATTGGTCCTGGGATATTACCACAGCATATTATCCTACAGAACATTATAAAATCAAAAACACTGTGTCAACATTCACTGGCAACATTCAAATGATTGACATTATTTAAAATTTGAAAGTTTTTTGTGTGTTGCTGAGAAAAAGGCAGTGCTATAATTCTATAATCACTATACTTTTATGCTGAGAAAATTCCTGTCTGCTGCCGGACTCAAACCGGGAACTGTTGCACCATGAACTATGCCTCAACTGGATAGGCTGCTGTGCACTTGACGTTGGACCTAGATGATGTGGGGTCATATAACTTTTTTTTTCAACACCTAGGCGACAGACACAGGTTACACAACCTCCACTAGCAGTAGAGCATCCGCAGTGCACTGAGTGTAAATCTTTTCTTTTCTTTTATTTACACTAAA